TCGGACGTTGCGGAGACGGCCGATCGTTCAAGGTTGAACGATCCAGCGCGGTGTCAGGAACCAACGCCGGGGTCGGCACGACACGAACCTGCCGTACGACTTGTCCAGCACGGGAACTACGTCCTTGAAGGCCCCGTGGTCGACGAGCAGGCTCGTCCTACTCTTCGCGCCGTCTGCGACGACCTCCGAGCTCTCCGCGCTGAGATAGCAGGCCCCTCCCGCCGGCCACGGTGACTCTCGTCGTCTTCGCAGCGGTCTTCATGGAGACCTACAGGATCACCTGCATCACTCGGGTCGGGCGAAAGGGGGGGATTGGGAAAGGGGGGGTTACGAAATTTGCTGCATGCAGCTGGTTTCGGCCTCACCGAGGGGCCCATTCCTCGATACATAGCCGCCTCCGGCGCCGGGAGGCGCCGGGAAAATCGGCTACGTGAGCTGATTCTCAACCCCCCCCTTTGCTATCCCCCCCTTTCGCCCGACCCGAATCACGTACCAGCAGCCCCACGTGACCGGTCGAGACGCTCTCCAAGCCGAAGCCCCTCCACCCTCAGAGCAGAAGGCCACCGCGTGCCCCCCGACGTCGTTGCCCAGCGGAGCCCTCCCCATCGAGAGTCCGACGACTGCCACTGGCGCCTGCCAAGAGGGCCACCAGACCCGCACCACAGCCAGACCGCCCGCCGCGGTTCGCCACGATCCTCTCGCCGAGTGTCCGACGACCGCCCGTGGTGCTGTTCAGTGTGGCCACCACGTAAGCACTCCAGCCAGACCTCGTGCTGTCCCCCACGGCACAGGCGAGTGGCCGCCGGCTCCCAGGGGCATCAGCCGTATGAGGGTTCGCTCAATGCCAGCGAGCCCCACGACATCCAGCGACCGCCCGCCCACCTGTTGGCCGTCGACGACGGCCCGCCGACGCCCGACGACTGTCCGCCGAACCGAACGACGATCCACGACGCAGTCCGCAGCGACCCTCCGCGCGAGCGCCCGCCGACTCTCCGTGTGGCACCAGCCATGAGGCCAGCGTGGTCCGCCGTGGCTCCTCCGCCGAGCGTCCGACCAGCCTCAGTGGTGCCCCAGGCCACCAGGCCTGCACTCTCCAGCCAGTGCTCGTGTGGGCGCCCATGCTCGTCCGACGACCGCCGACGACCGTCTGCCGACCGCCGTAACGATCGCCGGCGACCGACGGTTGATTCCCCGATGTCTGACGGTGACGGTCGGCGACCGGCATTCCGACAGACCAGTGCCTCACGGCCGACCTACGACGCCGAATGTAAGTAAAGTCCATGACGCAGTCCGCAAGGACCCTCCGTGCGAACGCCCGCCGACTCTCGGGAGCACCAGCCATGAGGGCCGCCGGGCTCAAGTGGCAGGCAGTCCACTCGCCGTCGCTGAGTGTCCGACGACTCTCGATGCTGCTCCGCAGCGTGGCCACCATCCGACGAAGGCATCTATACACCACCACCGTGCCAGACCAGGGCCATCCTGGGCCGTAGGATGGTGTATAGACCCCCCTGGCTCGGCCAGGAGGGCGCATACACCATCCTAGGGCCCAGGATGGCCCTGGCCTGGCACGGTGGTGGTGTATAGATGCTTTCCGCGTGCACCAGGCCAGCACTCCAGCCAGTCCTCGTGTTGTCGGCCACGTCCGATCGAGGACCGCCGACGACCGCCCGCCGACCGCCGGAATGACCGCCAACGACCGTGCGCCGGCCGCTCGACCTCTCACGACGACGTCCGTGTCACCGCACATGTTCGAAAGTGTTCAGGTGAGCAGCGGCCACCACAGCCACCACCTTGGGTGTTGCTAGAGGTGCCCCTGGCCCAAGGTGCCCCCAGGATGTTCGAGGAGGCCACTGCGGCCTCCAGATCACCCCTCGCGAGGTCCAGAGGGTCCCAGGAGCTCCAAAATCGAGCGAACAGCTGGGGGCACCTTGGGCCAGGGGCACCTTTAGCAACCCCCGAACCACGGCATCGTTCATCTTGACACCCTCACCGAGTGTTCGACGACTTTCACTGGCGCTCCGCGGTGTGGCCACCAGGCCCGCACTCCAGCCATCGACGACCGCCGGCGACCGTCCGTCGTCTGCTCGACGACCGCCGACGCCCTTCCGCTGACCGTCCGCCCGACGACCGCCGACGAGCCTGCGCCGACCGCCGGAGCGACCGCCGACGACCGACTGACGACTGCTCGACATCCGACGACGACACCCCGTACCACCACGCCACCAAGGTATTCAGGTGACGGCTGTCGACCTGCAGCGTGTCCTCATCAAGGCGGAGGCCAGCGGCCCCCCTCGCCGGAGAAGGCGGCACCACAGTACGCCAGACCAGTGTCCCCCTACGGCTCGCCACGGCCTGGGGCGACCGCTGCTCTCACCAGGCCGTCGTGCCATCCCACTTTTGGCAATTTGGGCGCTCGGTGCTCACTCGGTTCACCCCACTTCGATCGCAGAACGCCGACCCGCCCTCGGACCCCATGGACGGCGGATGAAGGCCCCCGCCA